TTCACTGTTGTTCTTGTTCCTCTGTTGTCTTTCACATATCCTCCTCTAATGTACAATCCTTCTCTCTAGGTTCTCTTCACAGGTTGGTGGATCACAATCATTTCTCTTGACACTTCTGTCACCTTTTCAAAATTTTGCCTGAAGTTTGGCATTTTTTTCCAGCTGCATCTTTAGTACTTAATGCTTCTCTTCTGTGAAGCATATAATTTATCATATATAAATAGCCTCAATCAGATAGCCACTCAAAAATAATAAGCTTCCAGCAGCTTTTCCATCCAGTTATCTTCAGTTTCTTCCCCTCTTCAGGTTTTTTTCTATTGCTGCATTAACAGACAAGCTGTGTTTTCTCTTTGCCTTAAATTCACAGCTCAGAGGAGGAAAAAATCCACCTCCTCCTTAAAGATTTCTACCCTGTTTGCTAGCCTGCACCACTTTTACTCCTGAGCTTTTGTTTAGGTCAGTCCTGCCATCTAATTGTCATTTGGCAGCTAACTGTCCATCAGCCCAGATCAGAGGCAGGGAGTATATATACAGTATCTGATGCAAAATATCTGAACAAACACCCCCTCCTTCCAACAGGACAAAACAGCCAAGTAACAAAGAAAAAATTCTCTTACCAGCAAAAAATAAAGTTTTGCTTTTTCCTCATTCAGTAGCTTCCTACAAAGTCTCCTGTGTACCTCTCTGTCTTCTGGCCTTCACTGAGCATAAAAAGTCCTGCCAATTTTTACCAGGCCAGATCTTATGTGTCAACAATTAAAATATTCATTCTTACAAAGGACAATTCTTTTAAATTAAATACTAGAATCATGGATTCATCATATGTCCATCAATAAAATCTGTATCAAAACCTTTCACAGCCAATATTAAAATACTCTAATTTTGCAGATGTCCTTCTCTCCTAATGCCTGGAAGAAGAGCTGGAACTTGTTGGCCATCTCTACAATTTCCTTCCTGCACTTTGAGGTCTGCATCACTGTAAGGATTAAACTTCAAAAAGTACCATCATGCAGTTGTTCACCACAGTTAAGGTGTGTCTGGAGATTGTCATCAAATAGGTGCATAGAACCACCACTCTTAAATTAGTCTTAGCAAATGTTTCCATAGTGTAGTGGTGAATAACCTATCACCATAATTACAAGATAATCCTGCATCCCACTGTTTTGTACTTCATTTGACTTGATGTGGACAAATAAACCAGAAAAGTAACATATGGAGAGAGACTAAAAATTGAATATCATATCCCTGTGCTATATCAGCAAGAGCTAAACAAAACACATCAATAACAGTCAACAGTTGTAGCCTGGGCCATCTGGTCACAAAGGCCCATATTACCAAGATTGTATTAAAATATTTTAATCTCAATATTTTCCCTCAGGAATGAAGGATAATATGCAAAAGCTTAAATTCTGCTATAAGGTGAGATTCCTCTACCTACAAGCACAGCACATCTATGATAGTTATTTAATTAAGAGATACCCTAATGAAGGGTGTGCAAATGGCAAGGCAATAACCTAATTCCTAAGTGGGCATGCTGGAAAGCCAGTAAAAGCACAGAGAACAGCCTCTACACATGTATTTCCTTGTTAGGCTAAATACTAATTTGAATTTTTGTAATTAATTAAAACAAACCATTTTTTCACTTGTCCAGTGCAATTTCTCCTTCCTGATTTGTATTACCAAACTTTAATGAATGAAGTCCCCTAAAATCCCCACGGTTTTTTTGTTTATGCTATTGTTTCCTAATTGTGAAATAAAACCTAAGTAATTGTTCTCCTCTGCTCTCCTATTTTTGCACATCTGCCCTGCTCCCAGCTAAGCACTAATAAACAGTTCAACTGTTGGTGGCTGCTGCAATCACTTCTAAACAACCTTGTCCATTTCCAGGCAACATAGAACGGGCTGGAAAGCAAGAGGCAGTCAGGACAGATGAATAAACTACACCAGTAATTTGCTAGAGCAGGTGAAAGAAAGGGAAAATAACACACTCAAGGTGCAACTGGAAACCTAACTTTTATGTGGACATCCAAACCAGACCACATGAAGGTATCAAACAGAACTAGTCATGTCTGAAGTTATCGCTATCCTGTATTTCACTCAGTCAGGGAAGCTTCACATTCCTGATGAGCAGAAAATGTAACATTGCAGTAACAAAGATGAAAGCAAAACAAAAGTTGGAATTATTTTTCACACTGGAAAACGTGTGGTTATTCACACACACACATTATTGTATTGGAAATCCTTGTTCCTAATTTATTTTATTGCTATGTCTGAATAAAATCTAAACTGCCCCGCAGTTCAATCTCACAGAGATTTTACTGGGAATGCCCATTACAGAGGAGCTCAGAAGGACACCGCTCACAGTGTTGGGCAGACAGGGCGAGTCCTTGCAAGCCTCCACAGCATGAGAAACTCTGCTGTTCCCATCACAGCAAACCTACACGAGTCCTCAGCCCTGACTGCCGGCAGTTACATGACAGAAGTTTGATCCAGAATCTGCTTTCCTTTCTTCTTCTGTCTCATTTTTAAGATTCTATTATAACATGCAAATTATCCATTCTCTGTATGTTTTCTCTCTTCCCCAAAACACTTTAGAAACCACTAAATAACCAGCTAAGTACATCTGCAATGTCCCTTCACAATGATTACAACAGACCAGAGATGGCAAAATTTAAGTTCAAGAGAAATTCATCCACATTAGAAGTTGTAACTCATCAGTCCATGCAGTGTCCTCTTGAGGCTTCTGAAGATAAGCCCCAAAATATTGTGGAAAAGAAAATAAATGTGTTTCTTGTGCCTCACAGAAGTGGGCAACTAAATAAAATTTTGCAAAATTATGAAGCTACATACAGCTCACAATAAACATCTAAAGTTAAATGAGACAGATGATCAACAACAACTACAGTTTGTGCAGGATCTGAAACAAGTACATGAATTGGGTGTCTAAGGCTCTCTAGATTAGTACAGACTATTCTATTTCTGAAGACTTCATGGACTATCTTATGAAGATCTGTGACATGTCAAAAAGACCTTAAAAGAACTGCTTTTATTTTCAGCATTGACTCCTACTGATTTTTTTTAGTTAGGGAACAATAGACTCTCTTCCATACCGTCAGTATGTCTAAGGCTTCAAACCTTTTTATTTATGCTTTGTTAAGCATTCAGTTGCAAATTACTGCAGTTGACCTAGAATATTTCATTCCATTATTTTAAATGCCTCTAAAATTTTTGTCTCACTTGACACATACACACTCTACGTTACTACTTGCAATACACTATAGCCAAAACACTCATGTCTAGATACCTAAATTAGAAATATACTGAAAAAAGATTATATTTAAAGACTTCTAAAACTGATGACAGCTCAAAGTATTTCAAGATGCTGATCATTTGCCGTTCCTATAATTTAAACATTAGTTAAAGATAGGTATCTTAGAGCCTTTGAAAAACAGATCACCGGATGTTTTCGCACTCCTGTGTTTGTACATCATCTAATGCACTTGTGATCCCTGACTAGCATTTCAGGAACAATAACAAATCAAGATGACAAAATGCTAGGAAAATGTACAAATAGGACCCAATTCACCTCACTCTGCTTAAGGAGCCTCAGTTACCAGGACTGGCATTCTAAACTTCCAATAAAAATTCTTAATGAAAGCACTTCTAGAGTGCAACTCAGACTACCTCAGATCCAAAAATTCAGTGTTCACAAGCAGTAGGGGTGGAATGGGGCAGGGAGAAATAAATCAATAACAAAAAAAAGAAAGGCTATAGATCTGCATATAAATAACCTTTTTAATTCTCTGACTGCTTTAAAAATGGCACAACAGAAGTCTTAAAAATTAACTATCACTAACATATTAACCAACAATATTTACTTCAGTTATTGATCGTTAATTCTCAGACACTGAAATGTGAAGGAAAAATCAGAAATGTCTTTAGAAAGTTTAGGACACATTAAAAAATATTTCAGAAAGATAGAAAAACTTACATAACTTTATAAGATCAGTACAAATTATTGATAGGGAAAGGGGAGAAAATTAAATCTTCATAGATTATTCTTTTTACTGATAGGAAAACAAACTTTCCTAATTATTAAAGTAACCGATTAGGTGCCAGCTGGCTAAATGACACATCAATTGTAGAGTAAAATTCTGCCCTCGGGCTGCGCATTTAGGTCCAGCGATCATATCTGTGGGAATTAGGAATAGTCTCCGCAGCTGGGTAGGCCATCACGCCATTAACACACCTACTAAAGTCAGAGAAATGCATAGGAGTCCCTGTTTCAAAACTGCCAACATGCAAAATATATTCATGTATTTACAACTTCTGATGCCTAAAAGGTCATTTGAACGATTATTGATATTTTAGTTTTAATGATTTTGTATATACAAGCTGTATATCTGAAGTTCTGGAAAAGTGGCTCTTAGAACTCTTGTCTATCTGGTTGCCTGCAGACACAAGAAAAACTTTCCACTTCTTTGTCAGACCTTTGCAAATAACAAAAAAATAAAACTGAAAACATCTGCAAGGACTTAATTCGTCTTTGGACACAAGAAATTAATTAAGGAATGAACAAAAGACATTTTTACATGTAATACCTTATGAATTCCTTCTAGGTCTTGAGAATAGAAACAATATAAGCCACACTATGTAGGAGGATATTCATCATCACATTCCTGGCCTAGATTTCAGCCCTAGTCTAACACACAGATACACACGTAGGCAGCAACCTCTACTGAAGGTAGCAGATAGATGAAAACATACGTTGCCGATTAATGCTTTTTACCAGAATGTATGCTGTTAAAGTCTGCCATGAATACAAAGCCATTTTCATCTGTCTACATACTATAGACAGAAAAACAATCTTATCTATTCAGTTTTATGTTTCTTAATTTTTTCTGAGATATTACTACCAACATGACAGGTATTACAAAATTTTAAGAGAAATAGATCAATTATTTAATATCAAAATCTAATACAGTTCTTTCTTGACTTACTTTGCCAACAGATCTGGGGAACGGTGGTCTTTGATTTTCAGGAATTAATATTGGAGTTGCCAAAATAGCCCTTTTTTGTCTTGGAATTCCAAGGTTGCCTTCTATCTTTAAGATTTCCTAAAAAAGAAAAAGACCAATTACAAAGATTCTCAAAACAACATTCAGTTGTTATTTCCATTCCCTGCATCTTTAGACAAAATTAACATGAACTACCAGAATCTAATTTTTGTATTATATGTTTTCCAGAAATTAGTGATAACATATCAAACTATTTATTTAAATCTGTCAGGTTACTGGACTTACTACAAGTGACAGTAGACAGGCCATATTCATTTTGTGTTCCTGTAGACTGATTTTAAACCTAAGCAAGTATGTCTACCATCCTAACCTGATGACTGCTTAAATCATAAATCTTAAACAAGGTCTGGCTTACCTCAAATACTTGCATGAGACCTGTAAAAAGCCACCCTTTAAATGTCTTACAGAATTTTCACAATTTTCACCTCTCAAATTGCATTTATATTAGGTCGCTTCTCAGTGCAGACTTTTTAATGAGACAGAAATTACAGACGAATTTGCTGAGACTGTCCCCAGCTAATGAACTCTTAATAAACACCAAAAGCTTGTAACTTAAAAATAGACACCAAAACCCAGGTGTAACTTACAACATCAGCTAGTAGGTTGTTTTTTTTTTTTTTATTGGGTGTTTTAGGTTGTTTGTTTGGGTTTGTTGTGGTGTTGTTTTTGGGGTTGTTTTCTTAGAGAAAACTTCATGCTACTATATCAGAAAGAACAAAAGTAGAAATGGTTTAATACACCAGCCTTACTTTTCCTGCTGCATATTCTGGAGTATTTAGTTCTAGCTGAGCTTCAGACAACTCAGCACTTTATGAGCTACAGCAAACTCTTCACAGTGGCCTCTGGCCCCTAGAAAACTCTGTCACACCTTTGCCTTCCTTCCCCATCTGCTCTCTGATCCTCTGTGCTCTCTCTGCATGAGCTGCAGTTTCCCAGAGACCACCCTCTCCCTTTTGCTTCCTCCTATGGTCTCTGCAACTCTCTTCTCCAAGCACAGTTACTACCAAGGTCAAAAACAGCCTCTCCCCACCTCCCAAAGCTCCACCTTGATCGAGGCCCCTTTTTGAAAACAAAATAAACCAAAAAAACCCAAACCAAAACAACGCACAAATTTGTACTGTGTTGGGAACTGTGAAACCGAGAAAGATTTAGATCACTACTATTCATTCAAGTTGTTGTGACAGTTTTACAACAGAAATCATAGGTTGAAAATAAAAGTCTAATTCCAATAAGGTAGTTACATCCTACAGATGACACTTTTCTCTGCTCTCTTAATGCAGAAACTCCAAAACCCTAAGTTTCTCAGTTCTGGAATCCATGTTGTTGTTTTAATAGCTGCTGCTTTATTATATAAGGAGTTTTCTTGGTGGCACAATCTGGTTATCCATCAGTCAAGAACTCCACAGGCTGCTCTTGCTGCCATCTGTAGAGGTGCCTCCCATCTAATGAGTTTATCATCACCAAAACACTGCTCCACCTCTGCTAACTTTAGCATCACTTTTCAAATTTGACAACAAACAGCAGCAAGGGAAACTCAAGTCTTCAACAGTTAGCTTTAGTCACGATAAAGTCAAAGAGCAGCGGGAACCACGCAGAGAATCCCTTCTCACAATTTTGCCAATTTTCTTAACTTTTTGAGGCTCACCCTGATACAGCGTTCCCATCTCTCCCAAAGGCTTTGCCACTTCTCTCTAATCTTTCAGTCTGCAGGCCACTTGGGTCCCTATTTTTGTCTTTCAATTCCTCTCCCAAAAGAATTTTCCTTAATAAAAATTCATGAGAAAGTTCAAGACAAAAACATCTGAAGTGTCAAATAAAAAGGAAAGAGCTGAATTCTGTCCAAAGGCAAATGCACAGAGCAGTAAGCTTTCAAAATCACTTACACTGTAAACACAGCAGACAGTTTGGCTGGCATGTGTCTGTGACATTTCTAAGGAGAGTAAAAGTGACTACCAGTACGTCTAAAAGGAAATATCAGTTCTTTAGCTCAGCAGCAGCAGTGCTCAACTGATCACAGTTTTCACTTGGGCTAACTCCTATCTTCATGGTTGCCCTTCAGCTCATGAAAACATAAGGAAGTACTCCCAGATGCATGCTCTCTGGGAATGAGCAAGACATTTATTCAGATTTACATCTCTTTGTATCACAGAATCATTGAATGGTTTGGGTTGGAAGGGACCTTTAAAGGTCATCTAGTCCAACCCCCCTGCAATGAGCACAGACAACTAGATCAGGTTGCTCAGAGCCCCATCCAACCTTGAATGTTTCATATTTCTTTCTATGCTAGTTTGAGAAGTAGAAGAAATTTTCAGATTGTTCAATATCTAGTTCTCCCAATTTTGGTACTCATAGATCCATAAGCAATTAACGCATCACTTTCTCATGACAGGTTATCCTTACACTTTCCCAGAAGGTCCACACATGGAAGAACCAGCCAAATTATATTCAATGAGTCAACGCTGCAGTCATTAATACAAAACAATGAAATTCTAAAGGAAAGCAGGAGGGCGGTAAGACTTAAGGCCTTCAAGTCCAGACTTCCAAGCAGGACTTTGGAACAAAAAAAGGAAGAAATAGTATTATTGGTTTGTTTCTAAGCACAATTAGTCTGCTGCATGGAGAAGAAAGCTTCTGCAGATTGGTCAAATGTAAGCACTTCTCTGAGTATGCTTCACACTGTTTGTTCTTCAAATCTCAGTGTTGGTTTTTAAATAGTGATTTCTTCATGATTATTTCTCTCTTTCTCATCATCCCCTGGTGTCTAACAGCAACATGACTGATTAAATGAGTAGCCAAAAGCATCACTATGGAATGCAGGTAAACAGAAGGGAAGAAAAGGTCAAGAGTACTTCACCAACACATTTAATAATTCATTGCTGTTTGTGGTTATCATAATGATTTCCCCATTTGTAAAGAACAGGGAAAAAGAAAGAACATCTTGCTTAATGCCAAGCAGCCGCAACTGACAGTTTGATCTTCAACCAGTATATAAGACAGAAACCAAGGAATCTGAAATTGTATGTGCACTTAGCACCTGATTCAACAGTTAAAACACTGAAAAGATTCTCATTCATGGGTGGATATACTGCATATATAATAATTTTTACTGAATTCACCTATTTAATTTCTTGAAGAAGCAATTCACAAGGGATATGAAATCACTCCAGATAGAGTTGGTACTTTTAGTCCAAATTTTCTTGTAATGTCAGGCTAACATTATAACAGGAGCCTTCTTTTGCCCCTTGACATAAGTGAAGCCCACAAAGGAGTTTTCCGTCATCGTTGCTGGAACCAGCTGATCAAAGAGTACAGTACCTACCATGTCTTTGTAGCAGCCATGACTCCAGACAAGTATTTATGTGCCAGAAGTCTGGAGAGCTTAGAATGGCATTTTCCAGATGTGTGGTGTTCAACCAGCATCCAGAAAGCCAACGGCTATGATTACCATCTGCTTCTCCCACACCTGCTGCTTTGTACAACAAAAAGAAACCTAAGGTGTATGTCCAGAAATATCCATCCACAAGCAAAATTTTAAACATATATGTATTATAATAAATATATGTCTTCCTATGAAAAGTGCACCAAAAATAAAAATTCTGGTTTTCTGAGTGGTTCTGGCATTTGTTTGTTTTAAACCAAGATGGTAGGACAGAAATCCCACCAGGTTCTTTATTTTTACTATTTAACTGCAATATCACATTTGTGATCACTATCTTTCAGCTGCTGGTTTTCAGTGGATTACATTATCAGAATCCACCTATCATTTCAATGTCCACCATTCATAACCAGCTTTTACACCCTATTTTTTACTTCATTAAATTCCCTTTCTAGACATGGAATTGGTACAGCAATAGTTCAGCGCCCAATATGCTGATTCACTGGCAACAAAGCTTGATTCCCTATTCACATTAAGCAAGCAACAAACACAGCCTCCTCATTTTTCCAGCATTTAGGTTAGGCTTTTATTGAAAGATACCAGCCTGCCCAAACTATGATGCTACGCAAATTGCAATTTCCCTAGATCCCTTGAGAACTCTCCACTCTGTTTTGTTTTTCTTTCTTTTTACCAGGGGTTCTTGGGAGCATTGCAGTACTTGAACATTTGAATGAATGGCCTAGTCACTATCCAGTAGCAGGCACCATTACTCTTGGCAAAGAAAATTTCATTAGAACTTGTCATGGGAATAAGGTGGCTGAATACTGATATTGATTTGTCACAATAAGGGTTGGAAACATCACTGGAGTGGCAATCTGCAATCCACTATGGTAACCAGAAAGTGGTTGAGTGTCTTGCCATTTATTTGTTTTTATATACTGAGCTTGATGGTATAAAATGAGGTCAGTCCCAAACACAAAAAAAATAAAATTAATTGGATGCTTGTTGCAAGCAAAATTCCTCTGAAGTAGCAAATGGGATGTGGTATTCAGTGGTATATCAGTCTTCCTACAAAATAACATGACTAGATAAGACTGAAAAACTAAAACTGCATGCAGACCAACTTAAGAAGAAATAATCTTTATAAAATTCTCAGCTGAAATTTCACAAGTAGTTGCTTTATGTGTGTTATTTCTATCATCAGAATATTGTTATTACCAGCAGTATTAATAGTTAATGATTTCTAAAACATGTGCCGAAGCAGAATAATATTTCTCATGCTGTTAATAATATGAAAACCTAAGAAATGTGCTGGAACTTCCTTTGTAAGTTAAAGAACAACTGTTGAAACAAATAATTAACTCAATGAATAAAGTTAAGAATTGCAAAGGTCAATGGCATACACACAAACATCTGCTCAAAAGTAGTCTGTCCTCAATGCCTGTAAATGTCACCCTAAGAATCACATTGTATGCTTCAGAAGAGCAAACCCAGCTAAAATCTAGCATGCTAAGGGGAATCAGTTATATCAGAGCATATAAGCTTCCAGGCTTCTGAAGCATGGTCAGATATAACATCTGGGTAATGGAAACTGCTGGTGGAACTTGATTTAATTACGCTGGGTGTTTCTACTATTATAATTGTTACATAAATAGAGAGGCAG